AATTTATGTACCTTTATTTTCTTTTTCAATTATAATAGTATACTTTACAGTTTGTTTTAAAATATATTTTTTCACTTAGTAGTACATCATGAATGTATTCTTATGCTGCTATAGAGATTTTAATGGCTATATAGTACTGTATTACATAGGTTTTATATGGCCAATTCTCTATTACTACACATTTATTTATCAAACACTGATATAAGCACCTACTACATGCCAGGATAGTTCTAAGCTCTGTACAGCTATCAACTCGTTTAACTCTTATCTTACCTCTACAATAAGTACTATTGTCGTCCCCATTTTGCAGATAAGGACACTGAGTCACAGAGCGCTTAAATCTAAGTGCCAGGTACAGTGGTGCATGCCTGTAATCCCAGCTATCCATGAGGCTGAGGCAGGAAGGTTACAAGTTTGAACCAGCCCAGGGAATTTAGTAAGCACCTATCTCAAAATTTCAAAATTTTTAAAAGGTATGGGGATATAATTCAGTGGTACTGTGTGTTGGGTTCAATCCCCAGTCCCACAGAAATAAGTAAGTAAGTAACAAACAAACAAAGAGCTCATTTAAGATCATAGCACACTGCAAGTGGCGGAACAGGATTCAAACCCAGACAAGCAGCTCCTTGTCAGCTGACTTGCCTCCCTCTGCCCCATTAAAAAGACGGTCTTTTACCCCAGAGAATGGCTTAATCTTCATAAAACTTCACTGGCAAATAGGGGAACTGCTGTCCTATGAGTCACTGCTGTTTAGAATTAAATCGTCAGCTGCTGAGACAACAGGCAAAGAAGCATCTGGGCTGATAGGCGGTGTTTAGCTTCGCAGCCACAGATGATTCCAGGGGACACTGCAGACTCAGGTCCACCCAGCCCGAGGCCCTGGTAACTTACCCCGGGACTCAACCAGAGAAGCCCTGGTTCCCCTGACAGACTGTTAACTTCCTCCACCAAACGGGGAAGCCTTGTCCTTCACTTCCAGCCAGAGGAGCAGCTGCATCTGACCCAAGCTGGCCTGGAGGCCGGAGAGAGGTAAGGGAGGAAGCGGGCTGGGGGCTGCCGCGCTACACATAGCTCGGGGCAACACTGAGCTGGCAGGAACTGCAGCCAAGGCTGGGGGCATGGGTTCTTCCAGCCTGCAAAGTGACTTCTGGGGCAGCACACAAAGCTTGTGAGAATCCCCTGACTAACCCACAGAGGCTCCAGGGTAATTGCTTTCTGGGTGACTCTAGGATCCATATTCGCTGTAGCCTTGAGACTGGGCTTTGGCTATGGCCACCTCCTTTCCTATTCTTATCCTTCCAGTAAGGATAATATGATATCATAGTTGACTATGATAACTGTTCTATTTGACTTCTTTAATTCTAACTTACTTAATTCCCACAACAGTGCTATGAGACAGAACAGTAGTTAACATAATTATTTTCAGTAGTTAACCATAACCATTTTAGTGATGAAGAAAGGCAGTCACAGCAGTTAAATACCCTAACATAGAGGGAAAAGGGTGTCAGGTATGGGGAATACTGCTCGGTGGGTGTGACCTTAACTTGAACCTGCACCTCAGAATGGCCCACCACAGCAGGTAGCTTGGCTGGGAGGGAAACAGTAGTCAAGCTATCTTGTTCTCTTGAGCACAGGGAAATTGGAATTTGATAAGGGAAAGTGTTAAGGGCTGGAGGTGCCTAGAAGTTGTATTTTATTTAACCACCTTACGCATTGGTTTTCAGGTGCAGGGAGTAGAGTTATATGAAGTAACATTCCTACTTTCTTCCTGGGAGGTCTGTCAATTTCATTCCTTCTTTTACAAGGGAACTTAGAATATGCAGACCCCATGTCTTAGTTACATTTTTTCTTGCTGAGACAAAATACCCAACACCCAAAGTTAAAGGAGGAAAGGTTTATTCGGCTCACAGTTTGCAGAGGTTTCAGTCCACAGCTGGCTGGCTCCAAGGCAGCGTGGGTTGGTGGAGAGAACAGTTCTTGCCAGAAAGCAGGCAACAAGCAGCAAGCAGCAGCAGCAAGTGACAAGCAAGAAGCAGCAACCCTCTTTCTGTCCTTTATATCCTATCTAGGACACCTACCCTTAGGGCATGTAGCACTCACACCCAGGGTGGGGCACCCTTAATCCTAGCATCACACCATGAATCAGTGCCAGCATCACATCTTTTCACACACCCTAGATCCAGCCACCTCTGAAAAGCCCTACCTATTACTTCATCAGGCTTTGGGGGGCAGCTAGATATAAGCCATAACACCCCATATCCAAAGCCAGCATCTCAGAGTGCATTGGTTTGGAAGCCATGGTTACCCCTGCAGGGCCCGTACCTGTCTGACCCTCTAAATGTTCAATTTTGAGATCTATTCTCCCCCATGAACAGATGCAATAGACTGCCCCCAAACTTGCAATGACTTCCATCACATCAGATGCAACCTCCAACTCTGAAGACACAGTGTGGTCCAATGGCAAAGTGCTCCATGGCTCCAACACCCAGCTGGAATCTTAGCCCTGTTCCCTCACTATGATCAAGTGTCTCTATGATAGTTCTCATCTATGAGGGTAATAGATGCCTAGCATAGAGAAAGAACTTAACAGACAGCACCTGTTCTTATTCCTTGGGACCTCATTATTACCATTCATGCCACCCCCGGCTCATTACACTTCAATCACACCATCCTTCTTCCTGTTCCTGAAACTTGCCAGACCCATTCAGACGTTTACCCTAGAGTGCCTAGAACCGTGGGACCACACTCACCACCCCTGCTGGACCTGTGGCCTGCTGGTTGTTTGTCATTTTAGGCTTCATCTCAGGGCGCCTCCTCAGAGGGGCCTTCCTGGCCACCCAGTCTAAATCAGCCCCAGACTCTCTCTAGCCCATTGTCATTCTATTGGAATTTCTGTGATGATGGAAATGATTTGCATCCATGCCACCAGCCAGCCCCAAGGTGGCTGCACCAAAAATGTGGCTGCAGTGGACTGAAGCACTGCACATGTCATTCCATCTTAATCATTTAAACTTAAGAAACATCCTGTGGCTACCAAATTGAACAGCGCAGCGATAGCCCCTGCCCGGCTTTTTGGTCATCATAACACTTAGCACTCGGACTCAGCTTGCAGATTTATTCGTCTGTAGCGTATGGTCTGTCTCCCCCACCTAGAGGCTGGGCTCAGTGGAAATGAAGGCTTTGCCTGCCTTGCCCACTGCTGTGCTCCCCCATGGCTGTGATGGCATCTGGGTGCTTGTAGGGGCTCATTAAGATTTGTCAAATGAATAAATGAACGATTGGGCCTATAAAGGCACTGTATAAACAAAAACACATAATGTGCATGTGATATATATTATCATTTTATGTTATGTATAATTTAAAAGCCTGCAGAATTGTTTCACTGTTTAAAAACCCTAACACACAAGCTGATTGTTAAAGACCAATAATTTTAGAGTCGTTTTCTCTCTGCGAATGTGTTTTCATTTCTCCAAATGAGACCCCTCACCATCAACACTGTATATATAATCTGTTTTCCCTCCAGAAACTTCAGGAGGGTGCAGCCCGCCCACAGTTCCATTTCCAGATAACTTGAGCAACGCATCTTCACACTAAGGCATACGTGGGAGCTCTTCCCTCAGGGGCCGGCCACCACAGCTGGCCCTGGAGTGTAGGCTGCATTCACTGGTCCCCAGGTCTGCTTAGCTGCTTCCCAGAGATCCCAGCTTCAGGCTTAACAAGGGTTAGGTTCAAAGCCCCTGAAATGCACGGGGAGCTGCCTGTCTAACTATCATGGAGACATGAATATTCCTAAGGGCATTACAGGAACCTGGAAATTAAAAGCAAGGTGGAAGCAAGCTGTCTGCTTCCTGTGGGAGCAGCGAAGCAGAGCTGCCCTGAAACACAATGCCTAGCACTCCTGAAAGGGCTGGGACCTGGCCAGTCCCATGCCACTGGGCTGTGTGTGGTTTCCAGGGAGGCCTCAGGCTGTTATCTGACCTCCTGTCTTAATGAACTGTGTTGACTCCATGTCTGCCTCTGAGAGAACTCTGAGACTGGAGCAGCAGAGTCAAATAAGGGACAGGGGATGTCCCCCCAAGGATGCCATAACAGACTTACTGCAGGGCTTGGTGGCCACAGTAGCTGCTTCCAGTGCTGAAGGCCATGTGGTGGGCTTATTAGGCTCAGCTTGATGTGCCAAGCTGGCCCTGACCTCACTTGACTTGGACCTGATCTGATAAGTTGGTGGTACAGAGTGGAGACACGTTGGGCCGAGGTTGTTTTTAAGACTCCTTTGTGGTCAGCGTGCTTAGATTTGTTGTCAACATTCTCTCTCTACAGGTCTGCCTGACCCCCCAACCCCACCCCTACACCCAGACACACATTCTTCTCATAACACCAGGCTGGATTCCAGGGCTGGGACAGGAAGGGGGACAGGGGCTTCAGGAAGAGATCTGTTGCAGCAATGTGGATAACCCTGTGGGGCAGGAAGTGGGCAAGGCTATGTATGTTGGCCCCAGACTTCGGCCACAAGAATTCCACACCTGAGGCACAGTGGAAGATCGAGCTTATTCAAAACGAAAGCACCAGGAGCTCTGTGTCCGTCTGATCCCACCCCACCCACAAATTTCAGCACGGCCTGGGCCCTTTAGCCACCCTTACCAAGCCCTTCTCTGTGCCAGGCCCTGCCCTGCCCCTGAGGGTGACTCAGGTACTTTTGAGAAGCTGAAGGCAGGGTGCAGGAGGACATCTGGCTACCCTCAGGGACACTGGAAATGGTTCTTCTGCCTCAGGTGCCGCTGCCTGAGTAGTGAGTCACCAGGACCTTGTTGGCCCCAGGTCAGTCCTCCAGATCCTGCTAGGCCTGTGGGCAACAGAGAGGGAGGCAAAATCATCTTTGAAAAAAGGCCCAGGGGCGGGGCCAGAAGGTGGGCATGAAGCTCAAAGGAAGGAGCCAGCGTGGAAAGCGGACCCGCTGGCCTGCCAGTCAGCACCCCACTGCACACCACCCATTCGTACAGCACGTTTTTCTGTCCCCAGGCTTTATGTTATTTCCACTCCTTGCAAATGTTTGCTAATTTGACATTATCTTTTTCAAAATAACATGCTTTTGTAAAGTCATGCCCTGTGCCAGGAATCTCAAGGTTTTCCTGGCAGACAAGACACATGTGGGGGGACACTCATCCTCAGTTCTCTCACTTGGTAGAATACCAGCGAAGGAGACCTGTGGCGTGGGGTGGCCAGTCACTCAGGTGCGTGGCCTCTCCTAAAGGTGTGGATAGAGAGGGACCTCAAGCGTCCTCAAGGAAGCTCAGTAAGGGACTCAGAACAGCAGAGAACATACCCACCAGGGCTCCTTCCTAGGAAAGTGGGGGCGATGGAGTTTATGATGGTTCAGCCTTTATGGGTCGGGTCGTGTGCCCAGTGCATCATTGTACCCAAATCCTGAAGGCCAGTCTGAGAGTAGGGCACTTACTCTTCTCAACCCCATTTCAAAATGGGGATACTGAGGTACAGGGAAAGGCAAAGAATTTGCCCAAGATCATGGGACTTGAAGCAGCAGAACCAGTCCTGACATTCAGGTTGGGCTGACTAGGTAAGCTGTGATTTTAGTGACCTCTACCCACCTCCCACTGGACAATGTCCACTGCAGGTGCCCTCCAACTGTGCCCTGTGGGAAGCCCCTCCCTCCGGTCCACAGGAGTGTAAGAGCATTCCGCTTCCCTTCTCAACAGGCTGGAGAGGCACATCCCTGGGCTGATGTGATGTCTCTTCCTGCGGATTTCTGCTGAAATGTGGCTCCCAACTGTGTCCATTTGTTTAACCCAGGAGAATCCTGTTGGGGAAAGATTATGAAAATATTTGCTGGCCTTGCAGGGAGCATTCAGAGCTCCTGCAGGAGCATTATTGGGGGTGTGAGGTGCCATTGTTCTCCCTGGCTTCTGTTTGTGCCACTGTGGGGGGGGGGGAAAGAGGAAATCTATATTTAACCAATAGGTGAAAGCTATATTTAGCCTTCCTTGAGCACATTAGGGATGCACAAGTACAG